AGCAGAAGAATGAACAACCTTTCTACATGCACACAATGGAGTATTATATAACACTAAACGATGATGACTCTGCAAAACTAAACAGACGAACCTATAGCGAAATTAGTCACAAAGGGACAGGTATTTATGAGACTACTACTGTAACAAGTCAAAACAAAGCTTTTTATTCTATAATAAACAGTCTCTAATGGTTATCAAGGATGGGAGGGAAGGTAGAATTAACTATTGGGTAGAGTTTAGATACATGCTATCTTGGGTGACAGGGAAGATAGTTAAAAAGAAAAGCAAAAAAATAAGGAAATTGCCTTTTTTGGTCTTTTTCAATTTTGTTTTTCATGCCCTGGAAGGGAAATAATGTACAATTTGTTAAGATTAATCACTGGGAACTTTTCCACAAATGAAAAAAGTGAAAGAAAAGATCTGAAAATGGATAGTGGTGATGGTTGTACAACATAGGGGTGTGGCTGGATTGTACATGTAAAAATGGCTGAAATACGTTTTTTGTTACATATATATATGTAGTTATATATATATATATATATGGTGGGTAGTTGATGTACAGTGGAGTTAGTTCCAACTCAAAGCAATCCTGTATAGAGTTTCCAAGGTCGTAAATCTTTGTAAGAACAGAAAGCCTCATCTGTCTCCCGTGGAACCACTGATATTTCAAACTGCTGACTGTGAGGTTCGCAGCCTGATTCATAACCACTCTGTTACCAGAGCTCCCAGATCTCTCAATAACAAATTTCTATAAAGCATCAGTAAGTATGTTGTTGTTGTTGTTAAGTGCCGTGGAGTCAGTTCCAACCCATAGCAACCCTGTACAGGGTTTCTGAGGCTGTAAATCTTTACGGGAGCAGAAAGCCTCATCTTTCATCCGCAGAACAGCTGGTAGTTTCGAAGTGCTAACCATGAGATTAGCAGCCCGATTCGTAACCACTATGCTACCAGAGTTCCTTTAGTAAGAATATATGTTGTTGTTGAATATAGAAGTTTGAAAACCCTACAATGAACAGCTTGATAAAACACTGCATTCAAAGATTTCAGTACACACAGAAGAGTTAGACAAAGTCAGACCGTGTATCAAATCTTAAAGCAAACTCCAAAACAAAACCAAACTTTTATCCTACCGATGGACTACTAACCAAAGAGCAAATCTCCAAAAAATCCACAGAACCCATTACCATACAGCATACCTTTCCTGACCACAATACGATTCACATGAAATTAAACTAAAAAAATATGTTTAGAAACCACCTATGAATCGTTTAATGCATAGGATAAAAAAAATGACAAAAGTTTCTTTTAAAAAAGAAAATAATAAAATTAATTAAATACCTGTAAGAATACTCAAGATAAAAAAGGAGGAAGAAATGTTAAAAAAATAAAAATAAAGTAGCTGTAGATACTGTTAGCAACTTTATGACAATAAGTTTGAAAACAAATGAACAATCACTCGCCTGTAGAAATATAAATTTATCAAAGTTGACTCAAGGTAAACCAGAAAACTCTAACAATGGTCTTTTGACAATTAAAGAAACAGTACCAGTTGCTAAAATCTCCCCACTAGTGAAATAAGAGGGCTTGACATCTTTATAGCCAAGTGACCGATCATTTAGGAAAAACAATTCTGAATTTTTTCCAAACAATAGAAAAGGAAAATCCAAAAAAACCCTGAACTCATTTTTCAAGTCTGCTTATCTTAAATGTTGTTAATTGCCACTGAGACAATTTTCACCTCAGAGCAACAACATGTGACAGAGAGGAATGCCCCACAGGGTTTCCTAGCTTGTAATCTTTACAAGGGAGTCCTGCTGTGGCACTGTACCATAAGCAGTGGACCAATGGACTACTAACCACAAGGTCAGCAGTTCAAACCCACCAGGATCCTCAGAACCCTTATATATCACCACTACCGGATCAGGTCTTTTCTCCCACAGAGCTGTTGGTGGGCTTGAACTACTGACTTTCAGTTACGCAGACAAGTGCTTAACCACTGTGCCAACATGGTTCCTTTGTAATTATAACATACAAACATTTATGAGCATGTGTATAACTTATACACATGTATATGAAAACGGAAATTTTATACATCTGCTGTTTCTGCATTATGTTCAGAGCACATGACTAGAGTCTTCGTGTTTTTACCTGTATCTGTTAATTCAGTGAATTACATTAATTTTCTAATGTTAAATTCACCTGTTTCTAGACTTAAACCAAACCTGACTAGAATAAATAAGTTTCTATTTTCACATTATGATTTTTAAAAACTCATATCCTAATATTGAAATCTCCCAAAAAGACTGTTCAATCTAATTCAATTTCTAAAAAAACCACAACAGATCTTTAAGGATGCAAAAAAGCAAAAGAGATTAGCCAAAATAATTTGGAAAAATACAAAGTAGGGAGATTTGCCTTATCAAACATACACACTAAAGCTATACAAACTAAAACAGCGTGGTGTTAACAGAGACACACAGACGAAGGAAATGGGACAGAGACCAGAAACAGACCTGAGGTGCGGACTTGCTGCTGGTACAAGGGACAGTTGGCATTGAAGTTGATGGAGAAAAGATGGCCTGTTTAAGAGAGTAGCATTTAGCAAAACTGATTATTCATCTGCATAAGAATGAAACAACGAAACTGGATCCATACTTCACCATAAATCCAGAAAGATTTAAAACTATACTTAACACATTATGACTTTTGGAAAAAAATACAGGAGACTCTTTTTACGGCCTTTAGAGAAGGACTTCTTAAACAAGACACATAAAGAACAAAACCATAAAGAAAAAGATAAAAACTTCTCTTCAGTATAAAAAAATATGTATCATAAACTCACTAGGCAAGTTTGTTTTCAACATACAACAGTTACTATCCAAAAGTATACAGATGACCTAAAAATTAAAATTAAAATCAATACAAACACCAATAACTAAAACCAAACTAGTTGCCGGGGAGTCAATTCCAGCTCATGTGGACCCCGTGTGTGCCAGAGAAGAGCTGTGCTTCATGGGGGTTGTCAATGGCTGACACAAACGACCCCCACCAATGTGGCAGACAGGGCAAGCTACAAGAAGGAACAAGTTCCTCACAGCAAATGTCAAGGCTGGAACAGGTGAGCAGGCACTGCCCCACATCAAGCCATCAGGACCTACAAACTGGGGGCCATTTACCCGCTACACTGGGAAAAGTTGAGATGTCAGCAGCATAAATGTTAGAGGTATAGGAACATCCCCTGTACACTGCTAGTGGGGGGAGAGGGGAGGGCTGATGCAATCACTTTAGAAAACAATTAGGCATGAATGATCTAGCAGAATAAAAAAGCTGGGTGGCACAAATGCTTAACAGAAAGGCTGGCGGTTTGAGCCCACTCAGAGGCACCTTGGATCAAAGGCCTGGCCATCTCTAAAAAATCAGCCATTAAAAATCCTAGAGAACACAGTTAAACTCTGACATGCATGGTCATCATGAGTCAGAGTTAACTCAGTGGCAACTGATGTTTTTCCCCCCACTAAACCCATAATCTTAAAAAAACTACAATTAATCATGGTTACACCAAATACTACCCATACAAGGGCAAATGGGACATAAACAAGAGGGATGTGGAAGGTCTCTGGGCAATGCAGAAGGTCAACGTGTTCTGCTGCTGACTAAAAGGTTAGCGGTTCAAATCCACCCAGAGGTGCATCAAAAGAAAGGCCTGGCAATCTATTTCTGGAAGAAAAAAAAAAAGCCAATGAAAACCGTATGAAGTACAGTTTGACTTTGACAACCTAAGTTGACATTAGAGACAGAGTCGAGCAGAGGAGCCAGACACAGGAGCACATAGGTGAGGTTCTCGAATGGACAAAACCCATCTGTGATGAACGAAGTCCCAGCAGCAGTGGGAGCTGATGATGGAGTGCTGGCACCTACCATTTGTCCAAACCTACTGGACTATACCCTAAACCTGGGCACTTCATGGCGCGTGAATTGTATTTCCAAAGGAAAAGAAACTGACAGACTGCCATGATATGGGTTAATGAGTTAGCTCATCCTAAGCGGATTCATCTGTTTGCCACATTTTACTAATTATGATGTGCACTTTAATTGCATTCTTATGCACAAATATATTCAATCTACTCAAAAAGTCGGCTCAAATTCTCTTCTTGGCAGCCAGTCTTAGCAAGTTCAAGGAAACATTTGATAAACGGTTGGAAATACAGCTACCTGGGCTCCCACAGACTCTGCACTCACGGAAGTGAAAACAGATCAGAGACCGCAGTGCCGCTGTGACGTCACAAGCCACAGGCCCCTCACAGGCTCTGACTGCCTCCTGACTTTCTGAAGGAACGATGAGGGCATGCATGAGATCAATGCTGGTAGCAACTATCTCAGAGTCCACCTGGTCTTGGCACCACCTTCTCCTTTCCCCACAGCTTCTCCACAAAAGGAGAAGATGGGAGAGTGGACTCACCAAAACACAGGTAGGAATGCCAACCTCCAATTTCCAGTTCTGAGCTTCCACCACGGGCTAATTGCTGAGTGTCCATGTGTGTATGTGACAGAGAGAACGTGTACAAGTGTGGTGCATATGTGAGTGTGTGTGTGTGTTGATAGTGTGCATATGTGGTATATATGTATGTGAGAGAGTAAGACAGAATGTGCATGTGTGTGTGGAGGTATGTACATGTGTGGTATGACTATATGTGGTACATGGGTATGTGCATGTTGTAGATGCGTAAGTATGATATATATGTGGTTCCAGGGCATGTACATGTGGTACATGGGTGTGAGTGTGTGGTGTAGATAAGGCACATGAGTGTGAATGTGTGGAGGTGCATACAATATGTGGTATGAGTGTGTGTATGTTGTTATGTGTTTATATGTGAGTGAGTGGTGGGTGCACTTAAGGTTCACACCGTCATACCCACCCACACTAACCACTGTGGATCTGCACTGTTGCTGGGAGCACAGAAGCTCCACGCTAAGCCAAAACAGGCACCGTACTCCATTACCAGCTTTTCCCGGGGTTGCTGTACTCCTCTTCAATGAACTCCATGTTGTCCAGATCCTTCCACTTGCCTCCATCCAAGAACTGCCAGCGATACGGCAGATGGAAATGGTCCCGATGGCACTTGTCTGGAACAGCAACACAAAGCAGTGTGATGTCTGCGCCGTGCCGCCCCTTCAGCCCGAGGGTCTGGCAGGGTGGGGGAGGGAGTCTGTTGGGCAGTGGGTCTTTTGTGTGGTCAAGGCCTGAGCACAGAGATGCTACGATGCTGTGTGTTTCATTATGCACCTTTTCCCTTGTGACAGGGCATTACACTGACTTTCAAGATACAGATATGAACAGGTTATCCATGAATCTCCTTTCATGACATAAAGAAAGGATCTTGAGAGGGTCAAAAGCTTGCCCATGCAGGGGTGGATGACACAGACACACTACATCCGCCCCTAAGTGTGAAGCGAGGCTGCCCAGCCCCTACGTGACTGCCAAGCAGGCAGCAGCATACACGGCTCCCTGCTCTCATCCACACCCTAACGTCAATGTGTGTAGTCTGCCTTGGCAGACCATCCACACCCTGACCCAATCTCAGTTCCCAGGCTGTGTGGCCGATGAAGTACTGGGAGGTGAACTTCTAGGTGGGAAGGCACTCAAAAGTGCACAGTAACTGCAACAAAGGACCTGAGCAGCCCCAAGACAGTGAAAATGGCCCAGGACTCAAGGACGTTTCATTCTGGTGCTCATGGAGTCGCCAAGAATTGGAGCCAACCTCACGGTAGCTGACAACGGCTCCATACACTTCCCTAAGCATTCTCGAACAGCCCAGCAGACCCCCAAGACCCACTCTCTGACAGCTCCCTACACAGAGATGCAGGGTGGCAGGCACAGAAAAAGACGCAGACGACTTCTACTTCTAGAAAAGTCTACAGATTTGCCAGCTGTCTACTCATGCAAGCACACGCTGTCTCTTGTAAAGGGGGCTGTGCTGCTGGGGACCATGTTAGAAGAAAAGATGTCTGCCGTTGTTGCCTAGTTTTAATTTTGAACTACAGAAATATATTACATATTTAAAAATACTAAATGTTCATTCACACAAGAGGAAAAAACAAGGTACAAAACTGCAACTGTGAGGATAAAACAAATGGGCATATATGAGGGGCTTCAAAAATGAAAATGGAACGGATTTTCCCATGAAATTTTTGGAGCCCCCTCATATACACGTACGTATCTAAAATATTGTAGGTGTCGTCAATTCTCAACTCATGGTGACCCTGTATGTTAGAGAAGAACTGCCCCACCACAGGATTTCTTAGGCTGCCATTTTTATGGGAAAAGATGGCCAGGCTGTCTTCTCCAGCAGAGCTGCTCATAGGTTTGACTCGCCAACCTTTCTGGTCAGTAGCTGAGCACTTAATGGTTGCAGGCTCCTGACAGTATCTTTAGGGGAAGAACACGCAAGGGGTTGGTGGCTGTGGTTGCTTCCTAGAGGGGAACGGAGGTGAGAGGGAGGCGTGGAGAAAAGGTCATCCAAAATAAACAGCAACAGACCTGGGCTCACTGACATCATCTGAACAGAATTCAAATGCTCTCAAAGCTAATGCACTCTTAGACCTTGGCTCACTGATACCATCTGAACAAAATTCAAATGCTCTCAAAGCTAATGCACTCTTCCAGGCACATCTCAACACCACCTCCTGCCTGGAGACACCACGGAGCAAGATGATATGTTTCCTGGGCTCACTGGAGGCCAGGTCTGGGCCGGGGGACAACGCTCCAGAAATGAGGAGGAGGCTGGTGGAGGATGCCTTCCAGGGCCCATAGGCAATCTACAGCCTAGTGGCCAGGCTCTAATGGACAGAGCCCATAGCAGGTGCACAGCGGCACTGGTAGAAGACCTGGCCAGGACCAAGAGATCTAGCCAAAGGGGGGTCGAGCAGTCATGCTGAGCAGCTTGTGCCCACTCTGATGGGCATGGGGGACATGACCGATGTCCATAGAAAAGCCTTGCCAGGCATGCCAGCACTCACATATGGCATCCACAGATCCTGGGCACAAGTGCTTGCTGGCACAGATGTGGAAGACATCATCCACTAGGGAGGGGCCCCTGCGAGTTTTCCTGGACACCCCACCACACACATGCCGATAAATGCCTAGGACAGAGAATGCCACACTGGCCACCTCAGCCACTGGGGCTGATGACCAAGTCCTGGCCTCGCATGGATGTGTGAGTCCTCACTGCTTCATTTCCCTTGCTCACCTGTCTTACCCTCATCAATTTCCTCTTCCTCATCCTTGCCGCCCCAGCTCAGTGTCCAGGCTTTCTAGCTTAGTCACAGATACCAAACCAATTTAGCACACTAAGTATTCTCCTTCCACTCCTCACTAAGCCCCCTAAAATGACGGACATCCAAGAGTAATAAACCCCAAAGTACAGGAAATAAAGAACGCTACCATGGGATGTCCAAGGAGCTCTGGTAGCGTAGTGGTTACGAATCGGGCTGCGAACCTTAAGGTCAGCGGTTTGAAACTACCAGTTGCACCGCGGGAGAAAGATGAGGCTTTCTACTCCCGTAAAGATTTACACCCTCGGAAACCCTATACAGGGTCGCTATGGGTCGGAACCGACTCGATGGCACATAACAACAACAACAACAACAACAACCATGGGATGTCCAGCCCTGGGAGATCCCATGGAGGAATGGTTGCTTGGGCAGACACGTCTCCCCAAACTCAGAACTGGACACTGGAAGCAGGTGCATTGTATTGTGTACAAATTGTATCTCAATCAAGGCGATTTCTTAACTGCACATAAATACAAGGGGGCTTCCAAATGTTCATGGAAAAATTCTGTTACGTTTTCATTTTTACACAAACTTTTTGAAGCTCCCTCACACATGTTGTTAGGTGCCATGAAGTCAGTTCCAATTCATGGCTTTGCTTGTGGGAAGCAGAATGCCTCATCTTTCTCATGCAAAGTGGCTGGCTGGCTCAACACACAGATTTTGTGGTTTGCAGTCTAGGCTTATCATATGGAGCCCCCTCATACATATTTAAAACCAAAAATCATACCTACTGCAATGACAGGGACTTGCTGACAAAAGAGGTTGGATTGCTTCAGATGGCCTCAGCTTACCCACAGGAGCCAGCACGAGCGTCTCCTCCTTCCTGAGCCTCTTCCAGCTCCTGAGGCGACCACCGACCCCACTTTTACCCTGCATGCATGACCCTGGTATCTTCCTCTTGCTCAAATGATGTAGGTCTGTGACCCCACACTAAACTGACTGAGGGTCACACTTCCTTGTTGAATTAACCAAATGTTTGTTCCCAAAACCTAATCTGAGAATCTGTTTTAGAAACTCAAAGAATCCGTGTCATTCCCCAGTACCCACACCAAAACAGCCACAGTGCGGTGCCAGCTCCCTGCTGACCACTGCTTTCTATGGTGATATCTCTCAGAGACAGAGGGGTATGGACCTGGAGGCAGTCCCATAAGAAAGCACTTAGATAGATGACCCGCAGCTTTCCCCACTCCCTACCTGGTATAACAGGAAGTTCCGGCTCTGACTTACCTCGGAAGCTGCAACTTTTCCGGATGTGGTACAGGCATATCTGATCACTCTCCTCTTCGCTGGTAGTACGTGGGGTCCCAGAACATGAAGTATCTCTTTTTTCTACAAAAAAAAAGAAAAAGAAAAAGAAAACCACTAATATTTGTCTACTGTCATCAGAACTCCTTGTCCACAGGTTAGGTTCCAGGTGTGAAGGAGAGAGGAGAGGACTCGCTTATCTTCCAGCACAAGGCAAGAGTGGGAGAGAACCTCACCAAAACCCTACAGTGTAGAGATGATGTGCCCTCAGACACAGAAGCCTCTACCTCTCAGGGAGGAGCCTGGGAACCTGAAGCTGAGGACTGCTTGCCAATCACAGGACCCAAGACTTTCCAGAGGAGCTCTGCTCTCATAGCCTCCAAAGAACCACAAGGAAAACTTGTAAGAATACAAGTGGCTGGGACTCCCCCAACCCATACACCCCGAGACTGACTGGAACAAAACCTGCAGAGGTGAACCTGAGACAGGTGTTCAAAGGAGGAAGACGACTACACCCGGGGGAGGGCGCTTTAACATCACCTCAACTTGATAGTTGTCATGAGTCTAGTGGCAATTTATAATGAATTAGATTTCATTTTTAAATAAGTACTTGGTAATGAACTATTGGAGTCTCTGGCTGATGTTAACAGTTAATGTGCTTGACTGCTAACCGAAAAGTTCGTTTTGAGTTCCCCCAGAGGTACCTTGAAAGAAAGGCCTAGTGTTAGCCACCTACTTTCACAAAACCAGCCAGAGAGAGTCCTATATAGGGGGCAGTTCTATTTTGACACACATGGGGCACCGAAAGTTAAAGTGGACTCCACAGCAACTCAGGTTTTTAAGAATTAACTATTAGGATTACAGAGGCCTGCTGTGGTGCTGTAGGATCAGCACTGGCCTTCTAACCACAAAGTTGGTATTCAAACCGACCAGCTGCTCCTTGGAAACTCTATACAGGGTCGCTGTGAGTCAGAACTGACTCGATGGCACTTAACATTAGAATTGGGAGTTAATATCAAGAAAAAGGTTCTAAGTGGAAAGCAATCCTTGTAAGTTACAAGAATCATGGAAGGAGCCCTCGTAGTTCAGGGATTAGGTACTCATTTGCAAACGGAAAGGTCTGTAGTTAGTTAGACCTCACCAGCTGCTAAGGAGGAGAAAGACATAGTAGACTGCTTCTATAAAGATTTAAAAATCAAAACAAAAACCATTGCTGTGCAGTCAATTCTGAGTCATAAAAATCTAATATAATGGAATAGAACCGCCCCCAGAGGGTCTCCAAGGCTGTCATGTTTATGGAAACCAACTGCATTATCTTTCTCCCATAGAGCAGCTGGTGGGTGGAATCACAAACTTTTCCAGTTAGCAAAGGAATGCTTAACCAGGTTCCACCAGGGCTCCTTTTTTGTTTTTGTTTTATTGTGAATTATGTGATAGTTTACATGGGAGAACATTAGTTTTACATTCATCCTATCGTATATCATTTCATTGCCATGGTTATAATCCC